TTGTTTTGAGGAGACGACGACGTCGTGGAAGAGAAGACTCTGCGGACCTTCCGGATGCCCTCTGAGAGTTCACACATTAGTCCTTCCTTACCAGTTCTCGGTTATAGCCACCACTCAACTGTGGTTTGTAGGAGATGGAGGGAGGGAGGAGAGGAAGGGAGGGAGGGAGGTGGAGGGAGGAGGGGGAGGGGGGGGGGGGGGGGGGGGGGGGGGGGGGGTGGGGGTGGGGGGGGAGGAGAGGGGGAGGGGGGAGGAGGGATGGGGGAGGAGAGGGAGGGAGGAGAGGGAGGGATGGGAGGGGGAGGGAGGGAGGAGAGGGAGGGAGGTAGGAGAGGGAGGGAAGGAGGGACAAATGGGAGAAAGAGAAGGGAGACGGGATTGGAAAGGAGCGAAATTGAGAGTGAAATACTACGTCATCTCAGCTCATACACATGGCAATATAAACAACTTTTGCTCACAAGTAATTTGTTGTATGAGAAGTACTCCACCCTATGTATATGTACATTACCAATTGGCTATTATTGTGGCAATCCTCCAGGGTGGAATGTCAGTAAGTTGCTAACATAGAAGCACACTCTAAGTATTGGACATACATGTGTACCTGTGTGGTACATCGAAATGGGAACTTGCATAACATGTGTACATGCTATGGTGTATCGTACACACCTTAGTGCATGGCGCGCAAACACTTTACGGCAATTCATTACAAAAAGGTTGATGTTGAAAGTGTGACATGTACACACATACATACATCTCGACGTAATATGAATGCAACATGTATGTATTATAGCATGTACTGGCATGTGATGGTGGCAGACATGCCTAAAGGGTCGTGACATACATGTACAACGCATTACACCTGTCACAAATTACAAGTAGAAGCACTTCCGTGGGCTTCCTTGCCACGCCTCTGCTGGACACATACTGTAAAATGTCGCTACTGTACATGTACAACACTGGACTACACCCTGTCACAATACAAGTAAGAAGAACTACTTCCGTGGGCTCCTTAGGCCACGCCCCTCTCGGCTGTACACATACTGTAAATGTCGCTCGATACTGTACATGTACAACACACTACACCTGTCACAAACAAGTACAGATAAGAACCATCTTCCTGGGCTCCTGGCCAGCCCCTCTGCTGTACACATACTGGAAATGTCGCTACTGTACATGCACAACACACTCACAAACCTGTAGCACAAATCCTGTAGAACACTCTCGTGGGCTCCTGGCCACGCCCTCTGCTGTACACCATACTGTCAATGTCGCTACTGTACATGTCAACACAACTACAGCTACAAACACCCTGTCAACAACTACCTGTAAGAAACACTTCCTTCCGTGGGCTCCTGGCCACACCCACGCTCTGCTGACACATACTGTAAATGTCGCTACTGTACATGCACAACACACTACACCCTGATCACAATACAAGTACGAAACACTTCCGTGGGCCCTATGGCACGCCCCTCTGCTGTACACCTCCCATGCAGTCCCACTTGTCGCGTGCTTCAGAAACACATATATATTTTAATTCTCCTGGTGAAACTCCGCAATCCGCAGCCATGCAGTATATGAGAACACTGTTTGGGAACTCGTTGCTAGACATTGGTATTAGGGTGAACGGCTTTCTGCATCTACCTGATCTGTATCTCTGACCTTGCTGACGGACTGGGGCTCATGGGTGCTGCTATGAATGCCGACATGACATGTCGCGACTGTCTCAGAACACTGTAGTCCTGGTGGTCTTCTGGGGTGTGTGTTGACAGAGATCCTGATGTGACGAGGCGGCGAGAGGGAGTGGGGAACGGACACAAGCGAGGGAGGGAGGGAGTATGGGGAGGTAGGAAGAGGGGGACACGTATATTTGGTCACATATCAGCCTACAGGAAAATACAACAGCACCCGGGCGTTGCAGGACTGTGCCAGTATAGCTCATGCGAGCAAGTCGTACAGGAGAAGCCATGTACTCAGGCCCACAGAGTCGTGTCTGTGTGAGAAGCCTATGCTGTATGCGGGCGTCACATTTAGGATGAGAGAGTAGCTCATGTAGTCTTCAATGGGTCTGCCTCAGAAGCTCTGAAACCAGAGTATCATCATATAAGATAGAAAGGTCACCTGTACATATACTCTCCAAACTGAATGTTGTGACTTTATCATAGTGTACTCACGGAGGACCCTACTACCGTTGACTCTTGGAACGTCGTATGGTGAGAGCCGTTACCGGTGCGCTCGGACATCCTGAGAAAAAACCATTGCGGTATCTCGAGGACACAAACAAACACAGCAACAGGAGTGCGTGTGTGTGTGATCCTGGGTGTACAATCGTGGTGTGAAGAACCTGTCCACCTCAATTCCTCCCAACCACAAAACCACGCCTTACCTGCAGCACGTGATCATGTTTTTTCCACTTGGGTACCTCTCTCATGTTTTCAGCTACACCTGTACACATCTGCATAACATCGTCGTGCAAGCGCAATGCAAATAAGTTCAGTAGGCCAGATCGGGAATGGCACACCATAACCTATGGCAAGATACTGCGCTCACACTTTGCGAATCTTATATCGTCATGTCAGTATACATTAAACGTGCAATAGATATAGGTTGTGATTACCTCTAGAGAAAAGTTCGGAAAGGAGCTGATCCAGTCTTTAATTTCCGAGGCTTGAAGAGATGGTGATAGAACTCCACCTAGAGTCTTGATACAGCTTTCGCGTTTTCTACAGGTTCGTACACTGAGTGGTGTGAGGAGTGGCGGTGGGAGGGAGGAGAGCGAGGGAGAGGGTGTGAAGAGGGCAGCGAGAAATGTATGAAAGAGGGGAAAGGAACTGGTGTGGAGGGAGGGCGGCAGGAGGCAAAAGTAAAGTAGGAACCGAGTAATTTCAATGTGCCTATACACTATAATCGCATACAGTACGTGGTAGTGTGTGCCAATCCTGGACCGCTGTTTTCAGTTATCATGCCAAGGTGGGTAGGCCTGGCCAGACATGCTCGGCCAAACACACTGTCCAGAGAGTGAGGGGTTGGGGAAGTGTTGGCAGGGCTGGTGCTTGTGATGTTCTAATGACAGTCATTAGTTAAAGGCCTCTCTCGCTCTCTCTCTCCAGTCACAGGTGTGAACACCTGACCCACCGCTCAGGTCTTCCTCTATACGCCACATCCGGCCACACTTGCTCTACTAACACTGACCCTCACTTATTAACGAACACATGTCTTAGGCACCGTGACTACATCGTCTCATGACAAAGTGTCTTCACTCACTATGTAATGGTAAGGGCATGTTCAGAGGCTATACACAGTGGGTGAGCTCGAACCCACACGACACTAGTAGACACTCTTTCTACTAAAACACGTGGATATCATGGTATGCAGTTTGCAAAGCTTTCGTATAACTGTTTAAAAGGCATGTTTTTTTTCTCTCACCAGTTCAACAAAGAAGTCCCCCACGCAGGTGTTGACAGTCCAGTCCCTCAACTGAGGCTCCAGTTTCTCATGTAGGGCAGTGTGCAGGTCTACCAGGTCCTCCGTCCGGTAGAACACGTGTTGATTGTCTCTCGTCGCCAGAATGACCTGACGTTGTGGTGGTCCGTGCCAGCAGAGGCCTTTCCGGTAGACTGTGGGGAAATGGAGGGAGGACACAAATGGAGAGAGGTGGAGGAACAGGAGGAGAGAGGGGATATTTGGAGAGAGAGGAAAGCTAAGCTGGGTAAAAAGTATTGCATCTTTGGTTAGGCAAGTGGAGGTAGAATAAAACAAAGAGAGAAAAGCGCCGGAAGGAGACGAAATGATGATGATGATGCAGAATGAAAGCTAAAGCAGCAGAGTAAACAAGAAGAATGTGTTAGGTGCATACATGTATTTATCTGACACATGATGTAGTGCACGAATACTACAAAAACCCAAAACATTGCTGCAGTTACACCTCACCTCTTTCATGACGTTGAGGCAGTCGAGATAGGACTTCTCGGCCGACACGATCCCAGCCACCACCAGTTTCCTGATGACCAGTTTCTCTCCCTGCACCACCACCGTACTCCGTCGGACTGGGTAGATCCTGGACGACCTGGTGGTCCCTGGACTCTGGGTCTGGGGAAGTGGGGAGGAGGAAAAGGTGAGGATAGTGAGATGGATACATTAGAAGTTTTTAACTTCGCCAGGGTAGAGTGGCAGGGTCCTAATTTACCCTTAACTACAGAGGAACCCCTCTAATCTGGACACCAATGGGAGAGAATAAAGTGTCCATATTAAAGAGGTGTTCCTATTTCATGGGTTAAGCAATGTGTATATGTACTTTGGGGAAGACTTATAGAAGAGGCTTCCTCATTTTTCAGGGGTGTCCATCCATACCTGGTACCATGCACTGGCTAGGGCTGTCTTTAACCACTGAAAACTACGTTCAGGTCTTAAGCCGCCTGCATTGGTGACTACACACAGCTCACAGCACACATTCATCACTGGTAATTTGATTCCCCAGAGCGACTTCACAGAGTCATCTCAACGATAATACGATTCATAGCGTGGCACCGATCACACCACCACACAAGAGACCGGCCAATAAACACGACATTAGGGGACTGGACTACCGAGGTAAAGCAGCGAGACACACCGGTCAAAGTGTACCCACGAGTGTATGCTGGGAACTCTCGACCCGTGAATACCCACACATTCACCACACCCACTAGTTAATACACATACGTGTACGAACAGCAGGTGAATTCACAGCACGTAAAACATAGATAATGGTGTACAAAATTCCGGCATGCAGTGCAAAGACGACTCAATCTGGAATTCATCACTGCTCAGAATAGAGGAATTCGATACAAGAAACACCCTCCTTTTGAGACAAGAGCAACACACAACATGCTACACATGTACATGATGTATATATGTAGCATGTTGATGTATATATGCGCTCTTAGAGCCCTGGTAGGCGTGCTACTATGGCATTACCAAAACACATTTTGTGTCTTTCAATTTATTATGCACGTGTACACCACTGCACCGCATGGGGAAGTAACAGGAAGAAAAAAAGGAAGCACAAGATTGGGATTTTTGCACACGAAGGTTCAAAGCGGACCTGAAGTGCTGAACTGATAGGAATGTTTGGTAGGGCCTTATAGCATCGACCACGCACCGAGAAAAATGGGTGGAGTCAGACACACACATGTGCATGAAGATTTGCTGGTGTCTGTCGTATGTGTACCATGCAGAACTTACTGCAGAGTTTACAAACGCACACAAAATAGACATACACTTTACTGACCCTGTTTAGGAGACAAATTGGTATATACAATTGGAGGTGGGGTATGGAGTATATACACCTGGGCAAGTGGAGGTGGGTATGGAGTATATACACCTGGGCAAGTGGAGGTGGGTATGGAGTATATACACCTGGGCAAGTGGAGGTGGGGTATGGAGTATATACACCTGGGCAAGTGGAGGTGGGGTATGGAGTATATACACCTGGGCAAGTGGAGGTGGGGTATGGAGTATATACACCTGGGCAAGTGGAGGTGCATACAAGTGTTGGTGTGTCTGGCAGGACAAACTGAATGGCATCCTAATCATGATCACATACATCATGCCAGTTACTGACAAAACCAATTAGCCCAGTTGTTAGCAAAACACTCCACAATACAGTCCGTCACTATATGTACTGTTATCATTATGGGCATATTGCTTGCATGTACTTGGAAATACTACATATGTAGTATGAACAAACACAGAGCATTTCTCACACTTTGTATGCACACCACCTGGCTACCATGTGGCTACTATATATAGCGTACTACATACATAACTGTATCTGTGTTCATACTCTGAACTGACCGCGGAAGGATGATAGACACAAGAAGAAACACGCTGCAATTGGCGTAGCACCTCGGTTAAATATGTACATAGAGACATGTACCCCAGTATTGTGCCCCAGACAGTACACACAGGTCATTAGGTTCAGCTGACAATATCAATGTTCCAGTGCAAAACATGCTGGCTGCATATCAACACTCTAAACGGCAGGACTTCCCTACATGTTTGGCTCTGTTGCGTCACTTCCTTCTCTCTCTCTCTCTCTCTAACTCTTCCTCTTTCCTACTTGACAGCTTTATACCCAAACCCCTACACATGTACACACAACTGTGTATGTGTCATGTGTGTACATATGTGTACCTACAGCTTTTCAGACATCCACTGAACTGCAGTGAGCAGCCACCCCAGTTCTCAAGGCTAGGAATCTATCTCCGCTCCACGAATATTTTGTACGGTATTTGTGTGTGTTTCCATGTATTGGATGGTCATATCTTACCCTAGCATATGCTATACACTATATAGTATCGTCATACAGAGAGAAGGAAAAGGTGGAATATGGTGGCACAGACGTCCAATCTCGAGTTACTTTCTTTTCATGTGATTCACTGGAGCTTCAGTGTTTGCACTAGCGATGCCAACACAAACACAACCCGGCCTACACTATAATAACACACGCCTCATTTCTAGGTAGAGAGAGAGAGAGACCCGGAATGGGAACATAGAGATGGAACCAGAGGAGACCCTTGGAGAGCAGCAACCCATAAATGTTAACCCCTGGAAGAACCACAAATTTAACCCCTGGGATAACACAAAATTTTTAACCCACGCGAGAAAACCCGTAAGTGTAACCACAGGGGAATGCACGGGTCAAATTTAACCCCAAAGACAAGAACCCACTAATTTAACCCCCTGTGTTTGTCACTTTACATAGGAATGGGATGAAATTCTTGTGTGCTCTTGAGCGGCTCCAAGATGAAGGGGGTTGAAGACCACGTGCACAGTAATGTTGGAGAACGTAAGAGAGAGATGAAATTTCACACTGGGATTAGATTCCAACAGACTAATGTAAGAGAATCACACGTTCTACATACATGCACTGTGGCCCAGCTATACTGTATATACTGCACCCTTGCAATGCTCCCGAGTGTGTGGAAAATAGAGATATTGCCGGTACACGGCCTCTCACGCCGGCGGAGTGAAAAACACTGGTGGTTAGGGAGTTGAGCCACGGGCCGGGGAAGACACAACATGGCATTGTGGAGCATATGCCGACTACAACGGATGCAAATGGCCCCAACAGAGAACACAAGGTGGCGACCGTGTGCAGAATACCAGAAGGCATACCAGGCTACATTAGACAGACACGTAGGCCCATTATGTAAAAATTCATTTGTGCCGCCAGACGCCATTAACACTGTACCAAACCCTTATTTGGAGCCTGTCTGTAGTAGTCTTCATAATGAAGACAAGCCCAGGGGTATAACACTAATCATGACTGGAGGAAATGTACAACTCTAACTATGTATATACACGTGTCCCATCAATGCTCTAGCCTACTAGTTTACCAATACTATAAGTCTGTATTATGCATACATGTGTATGGAGAACGAAGAGAGAGAATTCTATGCAATTAAGACTCTATTATATGAAGCATTTATGGGACATATTGCTATGTGCGTGTGTGTGTGTGTGTGTGTGTGTGTAGCAGACAAGCCAGGGCCCAGTGTTGGAGTGGTGGCAATGTCGGCACAAAGATTCCCCTGTCCCCACACCCTGGCTCTATGTACACACTAATTTGGCACATGGCACCTCACAGCTCCACACACACACGAGTGCATGCATTATGTATCAACACAGTTCTTGCATGGAATGAATGGAAGGACGCATAGCTACATAATGTGCCCATATACACAAAGCCAGCACTTGCCTGGTAGTAAAGAACAACACAACAATGATCGAGCTATTGTTAGCCTACTTTCAATTGCATGAGTACAGAACTTTGTATACATACTCACGCAACACAAGAGGCTAAAACACCCTTACGTCCACAGAACAAAACCACAATTGGGAAGAACTGCACATTTTTGAAAACTGACCTCGATTTCCTTCAAGTGTGTTCCGTGGAGAGGAGGAGGGTACAGAGTGGGGCTTCCGCTCATGTTAACCATCACCTCCTCCGCAGGTGGGGACAGGGAGCAGGTCGTGGAGTACTGGGACGAAGAGGCCGTCGTGTTGGGCGATCGGAGTCTCTCTGAGGACAGCATCTCTACCAAGGAGGCGCCCGTTTGGTCGTCCAGCTCGGCGTTCCCCTCCCTTCTCCGGTTCCTCCGTCGCCCGGCCCCCGAGCTCCCGCTCGACGGACGAAGGTTGACGACAGGGGCCGTGGTGTGGGAGGGGGAGAGGAAAGGTTCTGTGAGTGACGCGGTGGAGGTGCTCTGCGAATCGTTTAGTGTCTCGGGTAGACTCGTGACCGACCCGCTTCTCGAGCCGAACATGTCGTTGTTGAGAGTGACGGCAGATATGGTGGCCTCATCTAGCTCCATACTGTCCTCTAGCATGTGACGTTCAAGTAGATTTGGTTCCGAGGCGACCAGAGCAAGTCTGCCACTGGCCGTCGTCTCTCCTTCGCTCTCGTTGATGAGAGGCATGTAGTCGACCTGGTTGCTATCTCTGAGGCCACCTCCACCACCCGAAGAGGCGTAGGCCATTTGGGGGCTGTCGTGGACGGCGGTCATGTAGCTCATTCTGTAGTTGACGTTACCCGGGGCAGGGGTGGGCGAGCCCCCGCTGGTGATACTAGCCGGAGTGAGCGTTGCCTCAAGTGAGTCTTGCCGAAGGGTACTGTCTGACGCCATACGTTGCACCTGCAGGCTATTTGCCTCCACCATCCCCTTGGTCAGCCCCTGCGTCAGGCTGTCGTCGCCGAGCGAGAGCGAGAATTCTTCCTTTGGCGTGGAGCAGTCGTCTTCCTCGAGACACGACGACCGTCGCTTTGCCTCCGGTAGCGGGTCGTTGTCTCTCTCAGACCGTCGCCGCAAGGTTACTTTCAGTACGTTTGCAGACTCGCCTCCACTCCCCTCCTGACTCTCGAGGAGAGAGTGCTCCCCACTCTCAAGTAGCTGGGAGCCTTCCATCCCGTTTGAAAACCTGTGAGACATGATCTCCGAGAGCAGCGACTCGCTCCTCTCCACCCTCTTCTCCACCATTACCTCCTGGACACCACTGACACCCGAGGGGGGCACGGGGGAGGGCGACACCGATGAGGACGTTTGCTCGACTTGTCCGTTGCTCGAGCGACCTCTGGAGCCTCGCGAGGGTCTCCTCCGAAGCGGCGGGGAGCTAGTCACGCGGCTGAGTTTCTCTTTCGCCGCCTTGAACATGTTGCTGGACTGTGTCTTGACAGGGGTGACCCTTCTCTCGTGGGCCACTTCCGACACCGCCCCTGAGTGGACTCCTCTGTTGTTACTTTGTGTGACAGAACGCTGCCGTGTTACTCGCGTGTTTTCTGTGTTGTAGTGTTCCTTATGTTGAGCAGCCCTGTCGTTGCAAACAGCTCTAGTGCTAATGTTGATCTGCTGTAGGGACGGTGTCTTGCTCAGAAGTCTTCGCTGTCCACCGACTTCCACAACTTTCCAACCTCCCGTCCTTCTCCTGTTGGCTAACTTTGCCTCGATGGACAGCTGCTGTCGCTTCAACGTACTCGACGTGGGGCCCTCTTCCTCTAGCTGTGAGAGCTGTGACTTTACGTAGCGTCGGTTGAGCGAGTGTGTCGAGTACACCACGTGGTTCTTGCACCCGGGGAAAATATACTTTTCCTCCTGGCTTTCTGATCGTGTCCGTCTAACTGGAAGACTTCCCAGACGATCTCTCTCTGGTGGTGACTGTGAAGTCACCCCGACTTCTTTTTTGTCAACCACAACTGAGGGCTTCTCGCGTTCGTTAACAGTCTCCAGCGACGTGTGGCGTCGGAGGACGTGTGAAATTTCCTTCTCTCCGACTGCTGCGTTTACTTTGGGAGCAGTTTCCTGGCAAAGTTTTTCAAAACTTTCGATGACTTTGTGGACTTTTATGGAGGGGACCGGTACACGTCTGCGCTGTCCGTAGACTTGGACTGGCGGGTCGCTCACCGAGCGTCGACGATTGATAGGAGGAGTCTGCGCCTGAAGAGACCCCTGAAGTGTCAGTAGATTCGAAGACCACCACTTCCCCTGCTCTATCAGTCTTTTCCTGACAGCTCTAGCCACGCACTTATCTGCCTCGTTAGCCTGGCCCGGTGCCCTTTCTCTAATTGCAGAGCCTCTTCTCTCCCCTACTGAGCCGTCGCTGTGCCTCCTGTCTTTCTCGTCGGGGGTGGTAGAGCCGTCTGTCCCGGGGCGTTCTCTTTCGGCGGTACTGTCACACGATGGAACGGTCTCCTGGTCCTTTGATTTCACGGCTACGTGTACGCTCGTCGAGAAGACAATGTCAGGTCTGGCGCGACGCGGGGATGCGGGGACACTGGCCGATTTCCGAGTGTAGGGTGATCCGGGCTCGGTGTGTGCTGGCTTGTCCCGATGGGGTTGAGAGGCAGCCCGCGAGCGAAGAGCGCTCCCTTCTCCCTCAGGTGGGATACGGTGGCGCGTGCTATCTCCCCCGCCGGACTCCCTCCGCTCTAGGTCGGCTACTAGCCTCCTCAGCAACTCGAGTGCCCTCAGCTCCCTCGTCAGTTGGGTCCGGAGGCTCTCTACGCGCGTTTCGCAGGCCCTCAGTTCCGTGCCCACATCCTGTGCTGTGAGACGTTTGCCGAGATTCGAACAGCTTTCAGGGGGTTGGGTCTCTGGCCCAAAGCTCGCGTGCCACAGTTGTACGAATTCTTCCGCTTCCATCGTAAAGCTCCACACACGGCACTGCAACAACGGAGGTCGGATTACAGTCTGTTTTGCAGCGGCGCTACAGAGCAGGGATGAGGCTGCAGTTCCGGGTGCTAGGTGTGTTCCCGCTCTCGAGAACCTAGCACTAAAGTATTCATGGGGCGTTCTGTTTGCAGCAAAAATTCAAGATTGTTGCGGCGGCCGTACGTGTTGCAAGATTTGCGATTTGCGCATGCGTAGTTCTACGAGGCTCCAAGGGGGGGTGTATATAAACATGTGACTCTTTGGTTGTAGAGCCTGTGGTTGTTTACAGTCTACTCCAGAGCTGCTCTGCACCCACGCTTCAAAGATTTGTGGCCAAATATAGTCTCTAGTAAGTCGTTTATACTTCCAGTGGCAGGGCTGTTTCGACGACCAACAAGTCCCATCCTCGTGCATTGCCTTGCTGTGTTGGAGCATCTTCGTTGGAAAGCTGGTCGGCGGAATCCGTGCATTTTTCTGCAAAAATGGCAGGTAAAGTGGACCCCGTTTGGCTCAATTTGCAGTGTTTCTCCAGACGGCCAAAGTAACGAGGAAAATTTGCATTCTGTGGTAGGTCGACTGGCCAAAGACCTAACTCAGCCTGCGGGGCAGTCTGAGCTGTGTATTGTACTCTATTTCATCGTGTGTTTTTTTCACCATGCAGGAGGGAAAAGTCTTTGTGTCATTGGGCTCTTCCTCCTCTTCCTGTGCTATGGCCAGTGCAAGCAAGTACCCAACCTCGGCAGCAACAATCAGTCTACTAAGGAGAGGGGTGCACAGTATTTTAGCAAGGTGACTGCAGAGTGGCATCAGAAACTACGCAAAAGTCTGGATGAGAAGGCCCTCAATCTGCGACCTTCCTACCACTCCCCGGCCTCCCGACCCACTACTACAGACTCAGGAGACAAGGCAGCCATGGAGGCACTCTACACCGCCACCAACGGTCCCACCTGGGTCAATAACACTGGCTGGATGAAGGGGGACCCCTGCAACCCCTTATGGCACGGTCTCTACTGCGCGGGTGGGAGGATACTGCAAATCAACCTGGTCTACAACAACATGACCGGCTCCCTGCCAGCGAAATTAGCCGAGGCCACCACGCTCCAAGTTGCCCGCTTCTACTCTAATTTCCTCACCGGACCCCTCCCTCAGGAAATCCTGCAGATGAAATCCCTCCAGATTCTGGACGTTAACGATAACGAGATCACCGGTCCCTTTCCGGGTTCGGTGATCATGCCCAACTTGACCGACCTCATTCTCTACAAGAACCAGATCAAAGGAACTTTCCCCGACCTGACTGAAACTCCAATGCTCCAAACGCTGGAGATCAGCAGCAACATCTTTATGGGGGATTTCCCGGACATATCCCGTTGCACAAAGCTCCAAATACTCATCGCATCCAACAACAACTTTACCGGGAACTTCCCGGGAAACATGCAGAGTCTGAGCGGCCTCCAGCAGTTCTGGTTGTTCAACAACCAGTTTGACAAGGCAGAGATCCCGGAGAGTTGGTCCTCTCTCGTCTCCCTGACTGACGTGCAGCTGAGCGGAGTGAGCGGAGAGCTCCCCTCGTACATCGGGCAAGTGTGGACTAATCTTGTTCACCTGGTCATGATTGACGGCGACCTCACGGGAGAGTTCGACACTGGCCTCTGCAGTCTACACCAACTGCAGGACCTCCGTCTGTTTGGAAACAGGCTCTCCGGCCAACTCCCCACCTGCCTCTGCGACATGAGCAGTGTCCAGACTTTCGAAATGTCGGACAACCAACTGACTGGCTCCATCCCCTATTGCATAGGCAGTCTCACGGAGCTAGCAACCTTCTATCTCTCCCGCAACAACCTCACAGGCACCCTCCCTGAATCCATCGGGAGTCTAGCCAAACTGGAGATCATGGATCTTAGCTCAAACGCCATAACAGGGACTGTCCCTTCCTCTTACGCAGGACTCACAGGGATCGTGGGGTTTTCCCTCTGCTACAACAAGCTCTACAAACTAGAGCCGGGGCTGGAGCCGTTATACGACCGAATTAAGGGGTTCTCCTGTGAATTATACAACAACCCGTGGTCGTGCCCGCTTCCCACCGACGTCCCAGCCAACTGCCAGGCCACCTGCTCCAAATGCAACACGGGGAGCAAGCGTACCGACTGCAGTGAGTGTGTGGCGGATGCAGACTGTGGCTGGTGCAACGAAGGTCCCAACTGCCTGGAGGGGTCCCAGAGTGGGCCATACGTCTACGTCTGCAAGTCTGGCGACTGGAGCTACGGTTCCGGGACCTGCTGAGCCGTGGGCGAAGACTTAACAATCAATAGTTAGTAATAATTGGGACAATCATTTCCCACTCTTACACGTGATTTTCTAATGATGGACTTCTTTTGATGATAATGCACAAAGGAAATTTCAGCCAACCAGTAGATCTACAATGCATCACACAGCCAAAGTATTACACAGGCCAAAAGAAAAGTCCTCTAAGGAGTTAACTTTAGGTGCCAGAAATAACAGGCTGGAAAATCAATACATTATGAACTCATTTAGCCCTACATCTTATTATGTCATATCTTCCCATCAACTCAAGTGCTAGCAGCATCATTATATGGTTTGCTGCTTTGGATAGAGCTGAAGAGGCAAGTGGCTCTTCCTCAAAGGTGCCAGTAGCAGTTGATCATGAACTACTATTCCTGGTTTAACTCTGCAAAGAACAAAGCTGTATTTCTCTTCCAGCTAAGGCCTCATGTCTTCTTCAAGACTCCATTATGCAATCAGCCTGCGAGAAGTGCTTGGCTGCTTGCAGGACTTATGGTGTTAAGAAAATCATGACGCTCAGGATCAATGGAGAATGTCATAATGACAGGGGCAGATTAATGTAGACTGAGTGATGATAATGCTATGATTGTGAGGTCATCTGATCAGTCTTGCTCCTCCTCCTCCATCTCCGTACCATCTCACCCCACAGTAGCTCCTTCCGGCAGGCAGGGCAGGGGCCAGTGGTCGGCATCAAATGGGGGGAGGGGCACAGCCGCTCGGCCAGGCAGGTGGCGTGAGCTGACAGAGAACAATCACCATGGTAGCAGTGGAGCAGACTGGGCGAGATGGTTGCAGTCACACACACGTCACTTGTCTGAGAACGAAACAATGAGGAAAGAGCACAGGAATGCTTATCCTCTGCAGGCAGACACTATGGTAGACTGGAGATAGTAAAAAAATTCCTCCATCCAGCTCCAACAAAGCTAGGGCACACCAACAATGACTTTAAGGCAGAAAACGTTATCAAAACTGTGTGGGAAACCTTATCATCAAAAAAACTGCCAACAAATTTACTAACTGGCCCTCAAACTAATCTGGTTTACCTACATACCACAGTGTATCATAAAACCTCCAAATAAGGACACTTCGATGCTCCCTAGGTGTCTCTTATTCAGAGCTTTCACTGCTATACCCCATGCATGTTATTATACCTGATGGCAGATGAAGCAGGGGACATCATGTGAAGAGCACTCCTCCTCCTCCTCCTCCTCCGCCCCGCTCGTCTGAGTGCTGCTCTTCTTGCTGGCACCGCTCCTCTTGCCGGTGCCACCAGTCAACTCCAGAGGACCGTAGGCGATGGGCATGTGTGTCGGAGGCTGTCTATCCGGAGGGAAATCCTGGCAGTACTCCTGCTGCAGCCAGCGGACGGTGAGTGGTAGTCTTCTCCAGGGACCCACGGCCAACATCTCTGACAAGATCCTGAACCTGTGCTGCAGCGAACTCTCTCTCGACCTCTTCCCCGGACGAATGCCACTTCCGAGTCGGCGGGACTTGGCCGGGTGCTGCCATGCCCACTCAAACTATAGAAATGACATCATCACTCACACTATAGAAATGACATCATCACTCACACTATAGAAACGACATCATCACTTAAACGATGTGTATTATAATTACATTGCAAAGATTCGTAAACCATAGAGTTTATGACTATACTCCTGCAGTATGTGACACATGATGAATTAGTCAATCGGAGAGCAGGGAGTCAGTTCTGTAAAGGGGCTTCAGAGGCCACATAGCGATGTGTATACATAATGCGTAACCACGGCAAGAACCAAGACTAGGATGCAATGTCACTTGGGTAATCCTTCATGCAAATCATAATGAGAAAATGCCACTTGCCAAATACACATACACTGTGGTAAAAAATAAGTCACATCAGACGCACTACGAAACACCACGTGGATTTCTTTATCTGCTCCGTATCCTCTAATTGGGACGACGACGGGAAAATCATATCAACAAGCAAATTCTACTCCAGTATCATAAAGACAGACAACTGTATAAACCTCATGTGGTATATATCATATGCCTGGCTGCTGTGATTACTAGAGTATGCAGACACTATGTGGACGGTGGAGTGGGGGAGTCTCGCTGGTAGAGGGGGAAACAAAGACTAGAGTCTGGATACCTCAAAAACCTCGTGCAGCTGCTCCCTACCCAAATGTCAGTTGGTGCACCTTCCACTCCCTGTATACATGTTTTTCATATGCAATGCGCGCAAAGTACGGATTCGGACCATCTGCAGATTTTCTAGAGAGTAAACCTCAGATCGGTGGATGATACGATCCGCACGTTGTCTGCCTAACATTACACAGTATGGTATACTCTGTTACCCACTCGCAGTGCAGACACATCGTTTGGAAACCCGTGCAGAATCAGCACCATCTCCCTGCAGTGAAACAGTGCACACTGATTTACTGCGGGAAACTCTGTGAGGAGGACAAATCTCACGAATTTCGCAGTTTTAGAGCTGACAGTAAAGTTTCTCTGTGAGTTTTGAGGGTTTTTGACACCATGTTTTCTACCTGTTTTTCCTCCGGCCAAGGTGTGGTAAACACCAGCTCATAACTGGCGGTAGTTTGGCAGGCGAACGAGCGTAGGTCACCAATTACACACTGTTCATCACAACAACTTCCCATTACCTCACAGTTATAGTGTGTATACATGTATCTCACCCTTGAGTGAACAACAAGCTTACTTCCTAATTTCATTTGCCCAGGCTCTACATTTTACATTTACCACAAAGCAGTTTAGTATGTGCATGGTATATTTTAGTATGCGCTGGGTATATACTCGTGATGCCAAATTTCAAGCTTGAAATAATATATGTACATAGTAGATGCTGAGATGCTCAAAAACGGAGCTCTCTACTAAGGCTATACGGTTCAGGTGCCATGCTGACTGTGAGGAATATTACGAGGAGTTGGTTGGCTGGAACAGTACAATACACTGGACTCTCTGGAGACTGTGGACCAGCATACAATAGAATCTGAGGACATTTGATTCTTGAATGAAATTGGGCTCCTTATATCCACGGGATGAGATTACGAACTAGAGTCCTCTGACTTGAGAGAGCCAACTAATCTTCCACCGAAACGAACAGGGACAACATCTATTTATGATATTACAGGGGAGCATATCCTGCTCTGAGATCATGACGCAATTCATTTTATCCGGTATGAAACTCCCACAGTGTACGGATGGCAATTGCAAGGTCAGGGAAAACTGAAACTGCCACGTATGTAGCATACACACAGTGCTTCAATTTGCTGGTTTGTAATACAAGGCACTCAATAGGACAGTGGCATGTGAATGTGTCATCATAAGCTGCAATGAATGCTTGAGGCAGGATGTTGGTGCTAGCGCACGAATGCAAATCTCCTGATGACTATATAGTGGAAGCTAACTCTGCAATGAAGCAAAGCCAGTCAAAGCTGGAACACACCGATGTGATGTCAACCCTGAAACCGTATTAACTATGGATTACCAAATACCTCACTCATGCACACACGGTGTTATCACAGGTTGGCGCGTGCAAACATCACGTCACACACTCTGATACGCTCAGAAACACATTGCCAACGCAATCCCCAAACGAATGATATAACAGGATACGAGCAGCGGCGGGCGGCACGGTGCTGTTTTCTTTCTCAGAGTCCAATGTGGGGTGAACATGTTTTGGGGAGGGAGCAATAAAGTACTCTATTGATCAGAGACCCTCCAATATAAACCGCAGGGGGTTTAGAACATATTTGTGCACGCCAAAAATGTGTGCTGTCACATGTTTGGGGAAGTAATTTTGCAACGTCAGGATTTCCTTCATTTTTCATGGCACAGCAGCCAATTTTTCGAGGCTCAGCAGCCTAAACATTTTACACACCTTAGATGGACTGCAATTTTATAGGCTCAGCAGGCATGCGCTTTTTATAAGAAACCTGTGGTTTTCCCATTAGAAGGGCAGGAGCTGTAGTTCTGTATGATGGACCACAGATGTGTGGGGGGAAAACTTGGTGCTACTTCAACATTTTGGAAACCCACAAGTGTCGCCTCAGATTTCAGGATGTTGTGTATAGCACGAAAAAATCTTGAAATAGCAGTTTGATCTATTCGTAGGTTTCACATTTTATAGGCAAGAAAACATTATGTTGGTAAGGGTGAGAGGACTTACCAAGGACCTCGTCCGCTGGTCCTCTTTGCTCCACCCTTCTGCCTCCCTGAATTGTGCTGTCTGATCCTCCTCTTGGGGTTCACCGTGTAGCCTATGTACGTCCGACCCTTGAACTGGGGGTTCTGCGACACCAAGAGGTAACAGCCAAAGAAATCTTCTTTCTGCAGAGAGTGGGCGTCACTCCTCTCGCCCTCTTCCTCCTCCCATTCCTCTATCTCTTCTTCCTCTTGCGACAGAGGAGGAGATAAATCGTCTTCCAAATCTCCCCCGTCTTCTTCATCGGCCATGATGTTTCAAAATTACTCGCTGGTAAAAATTTCGCTAAATTGGATAGACCCTGTTTCCTAGGCAACGTTTACACAACTCTCTGGAGCTACAGTCTTTCACTGTCTCCTCCTCTCTCCAGCCTGCTGCGGAGCCCCTGCCCGCCGTCTATTTAAGAAGCCGATCGTCACGTTTTTGTCAGTCATCGGGGAATGGCAAAACTTGTCAGTTCCCCTAAAAAATACCTTCCTTCGGAGTGGCACAACTCGAACAAGCTCAACTACTCGAGTGCGGAAAAGGAACGAGCCGCCGCCGAGCGGCTGCGGGCAGAATGCGTACGTCTTCGCAGGGAGACGGACGCCACCATCGCCCGCAACCAGCATGACACGGCGCACAAGTTCTCGCAGAGGCTCCGCGATGTCGATTTCTGGAAGAGCGAGCTGCAGCGTAAGCTCGCCGACAACGCGAGCGAGACGGAGGTGCTCGTCCATCGGCGAGAGCGACTGGAAGAAGCGCTGGCTAGCACGCAGTTCCCGCTGGAGGTGGCGCAGACCTGCCTGAGCCTTAGGCAACAGAGGACGGCCATTGACCTCGTGCAGGACGACGTGGAGATGCAACTGCTCAAGGTCAGCAACTCACTTCTTGCAGCTACAAGCTCGCTAGCTAGCAGCTGAGGTTCAGTCGTTCTCTAGCTCGACCACCTATGCATACAACGGCAGCTATCGTGTTTACACTGCACACACGGGGAGGTTGCAAAAAAGTAGGAGTATCTCTGTTGTCGCACGATCAGAGCCCGGTGTTGTAAATTCTGCATGCACACACACGTGTGTGTGTAGTATATACTAGCTGCAGCAGGTCACTATCTATCAGCAGCGTTTACTCTCTGTGTACAGGAAGTGGCTGTCATTGAAGCAGTGCAAGATTCCTTGCAGAAGACTTTGGACCAAACAGTGGAGCAGATTAGGTAAGTCTGCACCCAGATGTATTCAACTAACACAGTGCTTATGCGAAAAAAGACTGCTTGTTTCAATCAGAAAGAGGTGTCCGACACAAAAAAGATTTCAATGTGTGTAACCTGCGGGTGGCCGATCCTGCACGCACCACGTACATGCAAGTATGCCCCTATAATGCATGAGTAACCTTTAAAACACTCCAGTGCTTTTCTACGCTCACGAATTATACGTGCACCTTCACTTCACATGGCTAGAGAGTATGCGAAAGTATGATATTGTGAACATTGGGAGTGTGTGGGGTGACGGTGGGTGTGTGTGTGTGTGCAGCGTTGTGAGCAATCAACCAGATCGAACTCCCAAGTCGGAGTCCATTCGTGGCTAATGAGGCAGAGCGCGACGCAATGTTGTGGTCGCCCGTTCTCACAACACACTTTCCGCACTCAATCAATAACTGCACGCTAACCTCCATGATTGTCCCGCCCCACGCACACAGGGTCCTCCGCTCCTACAAGTTCAAGCTGGAGAAGGATCTCCGAGACAAGCTGGGGGCACAGGACATTGACACCACGTGTGCCGGTCTCACCAACGACCGCAGAGACCTCACTTACAGCCCCGAGGCCGTCAAGATCCAGTCCAAGTGAGTCAGGGAAATATGCAGTGTGACACATCTTTTTCATAATCAAGTCCAGAATCATTTGTTGTGTGTATATACCAGTTACCACACTATGATTAGTGAGTGTGGCCGAATGCTGTTGATTTTGAAACTGGTACAGTCTGCAATAATGCTGTTGTGGATTCACAATAATTCAGTAATGAGTGGAACCTTTTTTGTTCGTTTCAGTTGTCAAAACAGCAAGGTCCCCTAGAGAAAACTAGGGCACTTTTCCCATTTTCAGTGTGTTCACTTTCTTCTTCCCTCCCCCCCCCCCTCAGCTCAGTGACCCCAGAACATTGGGCCTCTTTGACTGATACAAACATTGCCAAGGCAGAGGAGCAGTGCAAGGCATCGGCCACGCTCTGCGGAGTCATTGACAGCATCCTCAACCAGTGCTCCCAGGACGTCGAAACCCAGCGAGGAAAGGTGGATCTCTCCTTGGAGAAGAGAGCCCAGGAAATAGCTGATGCCAAGAAGACACTGGAGCAACATCTGGCCAAGGTATGTGGGGGCTCCATCCATACACACGAAAAATCCTGTGGCACTCACGAATGGGATTATCATACAGCTGGTGGTCGGGCCAGGAACCATTGAGTGAGCACCCATAGTAGCGATGGGCAGAATCAGAGTGTCTCCCACACGTCTTAGTCGAGACGTGGGTTCCTGTGGCCATCCCCTTGCCCCACACCACATGGCAGTCCCACACCCGTGGTGCATACCACTGCTAATTGAGGCAGCCATACAACTCCAGCATTCCACACACTCTGCACACACACACAGTTTGTTTTCATACTCCCACTTGAGTGAAGTGGTAGAGGCCCGCTGATAGTGGCTTCCGTCCTCCACTTTTCCCTTGAGTAAGTAAGGCAGATAACTGTGGAATGCACATACTTTCCACTTCATTATAAACTTCCTGTCTTGTTCTAGATTCTGGGGGAGATAGATGCTATGGAGAGGAATATCCAAGAGTTGAAGAAGACGGCGGCAGCAAAGGAAGGCCCAATGAAGCTCGCCCACACTCGTCTCGAGCTACGGTCTCACCGCCCCAACACCGAACTGGTACGGGACCCAGTCCAGTACGGTCTGGTGGACGAGGTCGGGGGGATAGCCGGTTCCTTTGGGGAGCTCCGCGACCGGCTCTCCGACTCCGAAGACGCTCTGCGCGGCCTTATTCGGTGTCAGCTCACCCTCGAGGAGGACATAGCGGTGAAGATCAACTCCCTCGACATCGAAGGCCAGTGCACGGACCTCAGAAAGCAGCTAACTGCTGTTTCAGCTACAGACACCAATTAACCCCATTACTTCAAACAGACGGCAGCCCGATCCAACCCCGATTATACACTTTCATGAGAAAAAGACTCACTTACTACTTTTATTATACAGCAGAGGATTCGGCAACATATCACTTATTTTGTTCTCCTCACTCTCTGCGACGGAAAAGCTTGGCACGCACTATTTAATTAGGACCTTTCTCGGAAGGAACTTACCCGTTGGAAACCTCGTTACCACTTATTAGCAAACTCTTCCCTCACAAGCTGTGTGCTGTACTAAAAACCACTTATCACTTAGGGCTACTTGCTTTTGCAAAAGTTGCTCATTTTGGTCAAATGCTTAACCAAATATCACTTAAAATATGTGGTCGGTTTGTGTTCTACCACTTCAACCAAATATCACTTACAACGTATGTATGTATGTAGTCAGTTTGTTTTCTTACTTGTACAACCAAATATCACTTATTGACTGTAACTTGTCGTCATTACCCTGTAAATTCGGTGATAGTTTGTGTATCGCACACAGCCACATGTTATGTTCACCTGCCACCCTTGTACGTACTCTTTCCTCCCCCAAAGAAAATGTTTTTGCCGCATGTAAATATATACACTGCCCCTGGCATCTCACCTAAACACACTCCTAAAGTGTATTCTCAGCTCATCTCTTCCCCTCCGCGGACTACTTCAGCTCTTAGTCCATCAATGTACAATGCTGTTCTACTTTTATTGTGATGATGTTAGGTTCTGTGCAGAGTTGCGTATATTCCAGTGCTGCGGGCGCTTGCAAAATGATAATGTCATAGTAAAAGAATCAACTGCGTACCTTCCACCATACGCCATAGACAAAACTAAGCGTTGCAATCATCGCAGGTGCATGAATGTAAAAATGCATCACTTTCCTGCCGAGCTCTTATACACCGCACGCTATACATCTGGCGCCAGATGTTTCAGAGTTCACGAATTTGTTGCGTCTGTGAAACCATCACGGAATCACTAGGCGGTCATTCATTAGCACCAAGCCCTCAGCCATCCCAGCATTCCAGACACCATGGCCAGCATGCACTAAACATAAATTATTATACACACATGTCACGGCCTGTCTAGGTACATGCAGTGTCAGAAAAATATCGCTAGCAAATACTCGTAAACTTCGTCACTGCGTTCTGTAGTTAAATGGACAGATGCTGACAGACTTGAAAAAAACTGCATGAACCTGCAAATTATTTCTTGGAAAAGGGGTCACCTCATTTCATTAGCATCTACAAAATTAATAGACCAGGTATATACAGTGTAGATAGTGCGCACCAACAGCAATGATTCTGACAGACACATTTCCTGCAGTTGCAACTGAAGAAAACATGTGGTTAGCTTGATATACTACACCATCAAGTGCATGCATACTTACGGTAAAGGTTACTGCGTGATTTATTGCTATTCAAAATCTGCATGCACTTCACTCCACGCTGTGTGTTCTTAGCCCTTACAAAAGCCAGAGGGTGCGTGTGTGTGTGTGTGTGAGAGAGAGAGAGAGAGAGAGAGAGAGGAGAGAGAGAGAGAGAGCGGACGAAGGAGTAGCGTGGAAATGATCCCGACATCCTATACCTCCTCCCTGACCATGCGCTGGAGTAAAATGGTGATCACACTTTAGGTGAAAGGTTTCATAAGAACTCTGACGACTTACAAACATCTCCTAATGAAGCTGCCCGACCAACGCCCAAACAAGTCATTGTGACCAACACCTACGTCCTGAGCAATGGCATCTCACACACTGATGAGCCACAAAACGTTCTCATAAAAAGCCGCAGCCAAACATCATCATTCTCATTAAGGCTATCCTTCAAAAAAATCACCTATCTTTTGTTCATCTGCACTTTTTTGTTAGTTTGCATGGCGGGAGAAGTGGGACAAGGATGAACGGGAGGAGTGAGAAGGAACAGGGGGTGTACTGACCGCACTCGCACGATAAAACCGTTTCCCTACGCCTGAGAGCAGTCAGGCATGCCTGGGCACATGCAGCAGAACCGCCCCACACACAGCCGCCAACAGCTAGGAGGCGGACACGCCACACTCTCTGCTCTCTCATGTGTTTCGAAGCGGGTCAAGGGAGGGGAGGGCCTGCCCGATAGCAGACACAGCTAGCTGCCTAGCTACACCCTCTCTGACATGCACTTGGAGTGCCGTCTCACACCCAGAACATTCCACACTCCTCTTGAACCAAGACTTCCCTGAGACAACTTATAGACAGTTTATCTCAACAAACTATTTGAAATACACCCCTTTTAACGGCTGTGACACTTTGCTGTAGATGCCAGTGTATACAAACATGTGTGAATAAGAGCTGTTTGGGATTAATATTCATATGTGTACACAGCACCAGGTGCTACTCCGTACTGAGACGGTTATCGTGCGAATCGAGAGTCTCTGGGCGTTGCAGTTTGCACAGGTTTCCAAACTCTGGAGTGATTTCGAATCTACGCTCTCGAGGGGCGGTGTTACAGTCACGGCAGGGAGTAGAGTTCGAAATTTCAAAAAACTGTTGTTTTAGAGGACAGATACGTACATAGGTACATATGCACAATTGTTCTCTAAAAACTTTTCAAACTTACACAAACATGCTCTGTTATTTCATGCATATAGTATGACAACCTTGCATTGGATATGTATATATGCATTGAGCAGCAAGAGTGCATGATTTTAAAGGGCACCCTGAATAAGGACATGTCATCCATTGGGATTGTACTTTTACCCTCTGAATAAAGGACACCTGCAATTTCCCATTCCATTCACGGTCCTAGTGTGTCCTATAAACAGAGGTTCAACTTTATTCTGTAAAGCACTACTGGACCCGCAGTACCACCCGCAGTACCACACACAGTACCACACACCGGAGAACACTGCTACAAGACGACAATACAAATCGCTAGTCCCAACTGGATTCTACCAAACATACATGTCTTCATATTCACCATCCTGACTTACCACGCCTCCTGCGGATTAAGATACGTGGTGTGCAGTGTACATGTACATTCCCGCAGCATCGCTGTCGCACACTATACTCTGCCGTGATGGGTGATTGATTGAACCATCGTACATGCACACGTAGTCTATTGTCACTCTTCAATGTGTTCCCATGATTCCCCTCCCTCCCTCATGTCTCTCATTCCACACCGGCACTGCCACTACTAGTTTAGCAGTCACCAACGAGGTCTGCAGACACTCATTGCTCCGGGGCTCCAAGTGCGACTTGACGCTTTGTCCTGAGACCTTGCTCCTCTACGACTCGGCTTTTGATTTAGACTAGAGTGCCTCCACAGGAACAGCAGGATTACGCTGGCCTAGAGGAGGTAAGAGTGAGAGGGTGGGAGCGGTAGGAGCGCCACCATCTAGTAGGCGGGGACGGCCTTTTGTTGGGTGTGTTAGTGAGCAGTAGAGCGTAAGGGGAGAGCTCGGAGTAGGAGTGAGAGGAGACCAGACCCTGCAGCTCGGTCATCGCTTGTCAAGACCGGAGGAGCCGATGGGAAGGTAATAGCATATGATTTTTTGGGTAGTAGCCACAAATGCAAAGTAAAGACCAACACAGTTTTTTCTAGCTGCTGTTTTAGGCACTAGCAGGTGGTCGCAGGCAGGGTGCTCAAATCTAGTTAAAAATTTCCTTTTCCTCTCCTCTCGATTTACTTCCCACTGGGTTACACGGCAGGTCGAATTCGCGCTTTGGCAATAAAACACAGGTCGCTATTACCCGATGGCAAACCCACCGACGCATGGAAACCTCCTCTCTCGCTATGTGTGTTTGTGTGCACTGTGGCTACTTCCTGCGTCAGTGAATGTATTGCAACACTCTATTACTACGTGTCCGTATAGGGTTATTGGACTTAGACTGCTACACACTTTTCCTCCATAACTTAAAGGAACATGCCTATAAATACTTGCCACTTGTTGTCTCATATATGATGGGGATTAAATGATAAGTAGACCTGGCAGGACACTTGGCCAGGCCCATACTCATCCGGGAAGCGCAGCCAGCAGTGTGCTGGGTTCTGACCCCTGGTCAATCGCGCCACAAAGAGAACGTATGGCAAATGTTCTATCTCCACTAGCGTACGAACAACGTGGCCGGGCGTGTGCCTCCTCAAAGGGGCCGGGAAGATCCGGTTGCTGGGAACAGAAGGAAGTGAGGGCTTTGCGAGGCTGAGAGAGGGTCGAGCAGATTAATTGGCAATGTCGACTGATTGGCAATTTGTGCTCCTTTCTCTTTCTTTCTCCCCCGCTACTACTTTAGTTCCTTCCCATCCGTCCTTTGCCTTCACTTTTTATTTTACTTTTCCTCCTTTCCTGCTCATCTTCATGTTTTCACCTCATGCCGAGGATTCTCAGAGTGTTGATGCAGGAGGTCCCCATGAACGGTCCATGAATCCCATGCCACCAAAACGTACAACATGTAATGGGTATAAGGTTTCCAGTACCACGCCTTTTGGGCCATTAAGGACTGTTTCGGTTTAGGCAGGCTGTCTCAGATTGGCAGGGACTATAAAACTAGGTTCATACTACCACGGTGCAAACCCCCTGCCCTGCCCCACCCAACCCCCCCCCCACGAATACATGGCTGTACAAAAATCCAATGATCACAATTGAGTTTGAGATCTGTCTCCAACAGGCCATGAAACGGCGCTTCGTAAGCAGGTGGGTGGTAACTCTCATAAATCCCACAGACTATCCCTGATCCATACATGGACTTGCCCACGTCCACTTAAATAGGACGCAACACTACTCAATTAAAGCATTATTTCCAGTTTGTTGCAGGGATCGACTTAACTATTTCGTATGTCCCGCTTAAAGGGGACACGCTTCAGTGCAAGGGCATGGGAATAACCAATTAATAGCTTGTCAAAAATAGAAGAGAGAGAAGAGAGAGAGAGAAGGGACAGAGGGGAATGCGTGAAAAGGTGTGCAAACTGCCAGAAGGGGTGGGTTCTGCAGTAGCTGATAGCTAGAAACAGATGGCCTAGTGAGGGGTGGTAGTCGCCGAGAACAAAGTTGTAAGAATACTCTAACAACAACACTGCGACTGTCGGCCTAACTTGTTGTGTGCTGGCAGGCTAAGAATTGCACACCCGATCCTTATAGTGGCAAATGTGCATTCATAGTGGTCATCATGGATCATCGGAAAAAAAGGGGTGGATTGATAATAGTCGAAAAAAGATTCAAATATCAAATCATGGTACAAGAAACCAACTCTTTTTTTTTTTATAGTATAGGGCAAAAACTGCATACAAGCCAAAATGAGTCTAACAAGCACCATTTTAGTAGTGAAATGGACTTGTACAACTACTTGTGGCTTCCATGGATCCATTTATGGGGTAGGTGGACTACTTGTGTCTCAGCACTAACCAAGCAGTGGGTAGAGTGGTTGTGATGACAGGCAAAGAAAGTGCGTGGTGTGTTATCAGTCCTCCAGGCTCCATAGCTCCAAACAGATATGTAGGTTTCTATGACCAGAATAGGCATGTTCATATTGAAATTAAAAAATAGTTTCCGTGACGCAGAGTAAGCCACAACCCATCCTGTGCCACAAAATTGCTCACCAGCTGACTCACAACGGGCACGCCCAACCTACAGTGAGGCAACCCCTGTACAAACGGGTGTGTGATGTTTAACATGGACTTTGGACATTGGTCTATCATATTATACACATGTATTATTTCACAGTGGATCAATGCTTTAAGCCAACAGACCTTTCCTAGGTCCCCTCTATAGTCATATC